CACAGGGGGAGACTGACACAGGGGCAACAGGGGGGCGACACAGGGGGAGACTGACACAGGGGTAACAGGGGGGCAGTGACACAGGGGGAGACTGACACAGGGGCAACAGGGGGGCAGCAGAGGGGCAACAGGAGGGGGAGATGGGTACAGCCTGTTTCTGTGTCACCTTCACACGGCTTTCTCCTTCACACGGCTGTAACTTTATACGTCAACATTGAGCTTCTTTCCAGTGTAAAAAGATGGACGTGTTATTTCAGTCGCTGAATTATATTTTCACAAATCAGAATAGCTGGGCAGTTTTCTATACAGTTTATCTAACAAATGAAGGAAATCAACTGACATAAATCCCCATCTGAAGTTGACATTGGACATGTGGGTCAACACAAATATAGAAGTTTTTCCCCCAAAAAACGACCATCACTGTTAGCAGCGGTCTAAAGTGACAAACATGAAGGAACTGTAACATCACTGTCACTACACAGACCACAACAAGCACCGTCCACTAACTTCTAAATGGTCTGCAGGTCAAACGGGACCGTAATCCCTCTACCCGATAGACACAGACTGAACGTACCGAGTCGCGGATGATGGGGTCCACCAGGTAGTTGTAGGGGCAGATAACCAGGTCAGCTTCCTCCCGGAGGCCGCGAGACAGGAAGTAAGGGCAGGCCTGCGGGACAGAAACAAGACAACAGTTGTCGTGTCTACCAGACAGAAACAAGACAACAGTTGTCGTGGCGTGTCTACCAGACAGAAACAAGACAACAGTTGTCGTCGTATGTCCACGTGATTCCTACACAAACAACAAGTGAGGGAAGCCAATGTGGCAATGTGCATGCCAGACTGTGTGTGTAGTATACGTGTGTACGTATATAAATAAAATCCATACAAGGTAATCCCCCAGGTGAATAGCCCAACCCCCCCCCCCCCCCCTTTATATATATCCAAGGCTGGCTGGCACAAGTGCTACAAAGTAAGTGTCGGGCAGCGATGGACGACTGTCTGAGCGAGAGTGTCCTCATCTTTTTCCCTGTACAGGTGTCGGGCAGCGATGGACTACTGTCTGAGCGAGAGTGTCCTCGTGTCCTCATCTTTTTCCCTGTACACATGTCGGGCAACAAAGGAAATTTGAGCGAGAGTGACCTCGTGTCCTCACCTTTTTCACTTTACATAGTCCCACCAAGTCCTCCAAATCCCAGGCTGAGCTGAGCCCCATGTCCTTGACAATCTTCTGCGACGTGATTCTCTGCGTGGAGTCCTTGAAGCGACAGCCCAGATCCTGTTCTCAACAACAAAAGTACAGTCAAGACACGAGGCGGCATCAAGTCTGATCAAGACAGGCGGCAGCATCAAGTCTGATCAAGACACTGCTGTCTGATGAGTTAGCTCAGACAGACACAGAGTCCTCACAAACAAACAGAGAATAGACAAACACAGATTAGATGATTTAGAAACGTAGCCTTAAGGTGCAATACCACTTGAACGTAACAACAGAAATACTGCGTCATAGCATAATACCGTGTCATGACATAATACCGTGTCATGACATAATACCGTGTCATGACATAATAGCGTGTCATGACATAATACCGTGTCATGACATAATACCGTGTCATGGCATAATACCGTGTCATGGCACAATACCGTGTCATGGTATAATACTGTGTCATGACATAATACCGTTTCA